TATCTTATGAGACCACCATTGTATATTTAGTCCTTCATTGAGCAACATGTCACTATGTAACACAAGACTGTATCTGACTTTTTAGGGGCAGGTATTATTTAAATAAAAATTTGAAAAAATAGTTAAATACACCCCCATCAGCAGGTAAATAAGCTGCTCCTCTCCACAAGGCTGTCCTAAATACATTTTGTCCCTGGAGACCCTTGCCCCTATACATCAACACACAGTAGTCATGAAAAAATTAGAAACTTAGAGATAAGCTCTTAAAAAGCTAATAGTGCCTCACCTCATAGAAAACTAGATCTTAACTAGAAAAAAAAATTGTGAAATAAAATAGAAAGCTCCTCTAGAAAGCTATTTCTATCCAGGGTCTCACAACTCTTAAAATACCCTTGTTTGGGTTAGGCACTGTGGCACACACCTGTAACCCCAGCACTTTGATAGCGAGTGCTTAAGGTCAGGAGTTCAAAACAAGCCTGGGCAACACAGTGAGGCCCCATCTCTACAAAAAAAAATTTTTTAAATTAGTCCATTGCTGTGGCACATGCCTATAGTTCCAGCTACTTGGAAAGCTAAAGTGGGAGGATTCCTTAAGCCCAGGAGCTCATTGCTACAGGGAGCTATGATTGTACCACTGCACTCTAGCCTGGGCGACTGAGATCGTCTCTAAAACAAAACAAAGAAAAATTACCCATGGTCAACAGCATCATTTATGCATTGTTTTTTTTTTTTTTTTGGAGACAGTCTCACTCTGTCGCCCAGACTGAAATACAGTGGCATAATCTTGGCTCAGTGCAACCTCTGCCTCCCAGGTTCAAGCAATTCTCGTGCCTCAGCCTCCCGAGTAGCTGGAATTACAGGCACCTGCCACCACACCCGGCTAATTTTCGTATTTTTAGTAGAGATGGGGTTTCACCATGTTGGCCAGGCTGGTCTCGAACTCCTGACCTCAAGTTATCTGCCTCCCTCCGCCTCCCAAGAGTACTGGGATTATAGGCGTGAGCCACCGCGGCCAGCCACTAACTGCATGTTCTCTAAAACACAGAGAAAATCTCTCTCCAGGTTTGAAACAGAGCAGATGCACTAGAAGGTGTAAAGACAGCACAAAAGCTTCATAACAGAATTCACAACAGAACTCAGAAGAAAATCATACCTGGGAAGGAGAATCTTGTGCCAAAGGAGATTTCCTAGCATTCTTTATATTTTGCTGCCGAGCGATGAAACGAATCAGATGGTTTGTTTCAGGAGAGCCCCGAGCACCGACTGCAGAACGTCGTCTGGACTTTTTAAGGTAGGATGATGACTTTCCTGTAATGAAACTCTCTTACAAATTGGAACAAAACAAGGCAATCATCAGTAACCACGTCCAATACGTGTGATGTACCAGCCTGAGAGAGAAAACATGATAAACATGTGCTACAGAAAGCTCAGTAGAGAGTTACTGGCAGAGTCGTTCATACACAGTCAGTGGAAGAGGAATCTGTTTTGTCTGCTGACTTAGTCCATGCTTCTAAAACAGTGCCTGGTACATAGAACAGTTATTAAAAGTTGTGGAATAAATACATGAACACGTTTTAAGTTTTCATTTTCGTTTCATATTTCCTACACACAGATGGCTTTTGCTTTTGACTCAGGATTTTTCTTTTTCTAAATAAGTCAGTTTTATCCCCAACAACTGAAAGGTAAGATCTCCACCTAGGTACATGCAGTCTCAGGTTCTTAATTCTTCAAGGTGATTGGTTTCTTTCTGATACCTACCATTGGTACTATCCTGAATTTTGGACATATGCCTAAGCACACAAAATGAATCCGGCTTTTTAAAAGTCTAAGAGTCATGTTCTTGAGAATGCAAGTTAGGGTGGCATGCCACTTGTACCTTGTCTTATGTATTACCTGGTCTAGTGCCCTGTGATGTTCAAGACTTCCATTATCCTCCAACTCTAAAACCTATTCTCTGATCCAATTCCATTCTCATATAGTATTTCCTTCTTTTCCATCTAAGTCAGACTTCACTGGTAAACTTCATTTCTACTGCTTGAAGGACATTAGCTGGTATCAATCTTCTGTTTTTTTTTTTTTTTTTTTGAGACAGAGTTTCACTCTTGTTGCCCAGGCTGGAGTGCAATGGTGCGATCTCAGCGCACAGTAACCTCCGCCTCCCAGGTTCAAGCGATTCTCCTGCCTCAAACTCCTGAGTAGCTGGGAATACAGGCATGCGCCACCACGCCCGACTAATTTTGTATTTTTAGTAGAGACAAGATTTCTCTATGTTGGTCAGGCTGGTCTTGAACTCTTGACCTCTGGTTATCTGCCTGCCTCGGCCTCCCAAAGTGCTGGGATTACAAGCATAAGCCACTGTGCCCAGCCCTGTTTGTGATTTTTAAAGGAGGTACATCCTGATCTTTCAGTATTATATTTTCTTAATTGCTCTTAAACTTTCTCTTATTTTTGCCATAAATGAAAACAAAATGTAGTATTACTATTCATATCAAACACCCTCCTGCATCCCATGTGACAGGTCAAAAAGTGACTCACACACATTTTTTTCTAGTACTGGCATTAAGCACGACTCTGACTTCAGAACATTATCATGCTGGGTGCCTTGCAATTCTGTGATCCCTGCTATGCTAAATGAGCCATGCACGAGCACAGAAGTCTCCCTGAAGAAGCGAGTGTGCAGAGTAGGCAATTTAGGACCTAAAATAATATGACAGTACATATAAACAAATAAAGCTGAATTACATTAAAGTTATGTTTAAACTTGAAAAGCATTACAAGAGAATGACAACTTTTCTTACCTGTAGAGTTCCTAACAAAGCTTTCAGGTGTAATTCCCAATTGCTCTACGGTTACTGTGGAAAAGTTCAAAGGGGATTTAAAAGCATCTGGTGTGCAAGGATTAGGAGGTAATTCGGCATGCTTCTGAGGAGTCATAATCTTCCCAGTTCCCAAAATGAAAGACGCATTTCCTGAAACGCACGACATATTGTAGGGGTGAGGACAACTCTCTGTCTAAACCTTTAACTTCCCAAGGAGGCAGCAGATCATCACATACCAGCATTATTCATTGCAGACTCCTTGGTTTCAGGGGGCTTGTCTTTTGAATTGGCATCCATCTAAGAGGTGAAGAGAAACAATGAAAAATAACCCCACCAGCAAGATGAATGTGATTCGATCACAAACCTCATTCAAGACTGAATTGTAATACAGTCCATACTGGCATAGAAACACACGTCGCAGGTTCCATTTTTTATTTTAATTTCTGTGGGTATACAGTAGATGTATATATTTATGGGGTACGTGAAATATTTTGATACAGGCATGCAAGTCGTAATAATCAAATCAAAGTAAATGAGGTAGCCATCATCTCAAATATTTATCCTTTTTGTTAAAAACAATCCAATTACACTTTGTTATTTTTAAATGCACAATTAAATTATGGACCGTCACCCTGTTGTGCTAGCAAATACTAGATCTTATTCATTCTATGTTTTTGTACCTGTTAACCAACTCCACTTCCCTCCCACTCAGCCCCAATACCCTTCCCAGCCTGTGCTAACCATTCTTCTACTCAAAGCGCGTACTTTTAAGGCCAAATTAAACAGAAAGAAATGAAGGAAACTGCTGTTCAGGCACCAAAGCAGACCCCAAAGGATAAGCCATGGCTTTTCAACCGAAGTGAAGACCTGAATCATAAGGGTACCCGTCTCAAGACGCAGCTCCGTCCATTTCCAGAAATTGTCTCAGCAGGTCCGGATGCACCCCTGGTCACCCAGAGCAGCTCCTGAGAGGAGTACTAACTCTGTGCTGCAGGGTAAGCCGAACAAACGCCATAAAAACGCCCCGGAGAAGCAGCCCCATGGCAGGGTGGCTGCAATCCTACCTCTCACGCCGCACCTGAAGGCCCGCCAGGCAGATAGGCTTAATCTCAGAGCCCCGAGGCAGGCGAGCGTCGCGTAGGTCGCTGCTTCCAGACCCCGGCTCCTCTGTCCGGAAGGGCTCTGCTGGCAAAGCACCCGTAGCCGGGAACCGCTCTCCGAACAAGGAGTCCAGGGTCCCTGAGGCCGACTCGGACTCACACCCCGCGCAGTCCCTGTCTTTCGCTCTGCCCGGCCGCCTCCTCCGCCCGCCGCCCGATTCAAATTCCCGGCCCCGCCCCTCGATGCCGAACTTACTCTACGAATCACTCCGCTACCGCCCCTTTCTCTGGTCTGCGCACACTCCGAGCCCTCCCAGTGACTTCCTGGGCTCGGAGTGGGGCCACCGCGAGCTGCAGTCAACCCGCCGACCACAGACACCTACTACTGACCTGTGACCGCGGGGACTACTTTCCGGGAGAGTCTCGCGGAGTAACGCTTCTGTTAGCGCTTTAACTCCGCCTCCCACCTTTCTATTGGATGCTGCAAACTTCGAAAAGACTCATTCAACCAATCCTAACAGAGCGAAGAGCTGGCTCTTACCCAATCACTCCGTCCCTACCGCAGCCGTTTCCTCGCTGGGCCGGCTTCTGGGCGGGGCTAACGCAGGAGGAGGGGCTGACTGGTGCTTGGGTCCCTTTCAGCGCTCCACCTCCTTTCCGTAGACCCCGCCCTCGTATGCAGATGAGCGCTACCTAGACTTGAGTGTGCGCCTGCTCAGTAACGCTGTAAGTCGCCGTCCGGCTCCAGGAGCCTCTCTGATTGGCTGATGCCCCTTCCCGTCTACTAGCCTTCAGCGTCTCTTCCCTCCCTCCATCCCGGCTAGGTTAGCCAGGGCCCGCCCGATACTGGGTGCTGATTGGCTGGACCCTGGCCGGTGACGCAGGTTGGTTGGTAGGCTGAATGTCAGTCTCGGAGAGGTGGGGGAAGGGCCCCAGGCAGGCTGAGGAGCCTAGGGGCGGGGTGGGAAGGAGGACCGGCCGAGCCCTGGGTGTGGGACAGAGTGCGTGTGTGTGGTGTGTCCCCAAGGGCAGGAAGGTGGCGAAGGGAGGCGAATCCGAGTGGGTGGAGGGAGGGGAAGGGCGGGAGGAGAAAAAGGTGGGAGTAGGACCAGGTGGGAGGGTGGCGGCTCACTCAGGACCCAGCGGGGGCAGCGCGATGAGGCGGGTGACCCTGTTCCTGAACGGCAGCCCTAAGAACGGAAAGGTAACGGGGGCGTGAGTGGGCGCGGCGGGCCGTGGGTCGGGGCGAGGGTGGAGGGTGCGGACCCGGCTGGCGGGGCAGCCGTGAAGTTGGGCAGAGGGGCTGGGAGGTGGGCGTGCGCGGTCTGGGGGCGCCCGGGGACAGCACAGGGTCCCCGCGGCCTCCTCCCGACCCTCAGGACCCCTGTCCCCGAGCCTGCCCTTCGGCGCCTCAGCTGCCTGGGGGCCGGCGCGGGTCGGGCCGGGGGCTCCGGGGCTCCCGGATGCGCGGTGCAGGGGGCGCGGGGACTGGGGAGCGGAGAGGGCCGCGGTCACCTGGGCGCCCGGGCGGTCGCGCCTCTTCCCGCCTGTCCCCGAGACCCCGCTCCCGCCTGCGGGAGGAGGCGCGCCGGCTCCCGTGCTGAGTAATGGTCTGCTCGGAAAGTGGCGGCGAGCACCAGAGCCTGTGGAGCTGGGTCAGGGAGACAGAAGTAAACTGCCCGTGGATAAACAAAATCTCCCATCCGAGGTCGAAGACAGGATTTTAAAAATGGGGGCATTTTCTTGTTGATTTTTGCCCTTCTCTCTGAGATGCCTCAAGCCCCCACTCCCCGACGCCGCCAAACTTCTCTGTACTCGTTTTATTATTTTGCCTTATTTTGATTCCCTAGAGGACGGGGACAGCAGACCCAAAAGGGATCGATTTGACAGTCGCCTTTGCTGTGTTAGGTAGGCCTTTGCGGAGGGTGTGGTGCTAAGTGTTCTTCCAGCGCTGGAGCAAGCCAAAATGAATTCTCTTCCTTCCCAGCCTTTTGCCCCACCCATGAAAGTTGTTCTGCTACTTTGGGAAATTTTGACTGTTCAAGGCAGACATTTACTGCGTTGCTAAATGACACCCAGAAGTAACTCAGCCTTTACGAGTCTAAGGTAAAGGTAAATGGGTTTCACTGTGTTAGTTGCCAAAATACTCTGGTGCCTGCACATTCGGGAAACACTGTAAATTTTTAAATAGTGAAATTGTCCAGTGGCATTAAAAATGGCTTTCCCATTATTCAGTGTAGAGTAAACATGCCCTGAAAATTCGAACCAGAGTGTGGTTTGTTGGCTATAATTTTGTGTTCTTCTGGTCCTAGAGATTTAATACTCATTTTAAAACAGAATTGGTATAAATTCGAGTTCTCGAGTTATCATGAATGCTACCCCGAAAATATGCTCACGAAGTTTACATTTCTCATCACTATTAACTTTTTCTAAACCTGTTCTGTAGTTAGCTGGTGTTATCTAAAACGTATGTTGTTACTCTAAGAAAGATTGAGTATATCCAAAATTGGTAATATTTCTCAAAAACAAACTTCCGATTGACCTTTTTAATGCAGTATCTCTGCTATGTTACTCATGGAAGACAAATATTTAGACCTAGTCATAAATATTTTTGCTCTAAATCTCTCCCGAATCCACTCAATTTGGTTGTCAAAAATTAACTGAGTTGGTCTTTCCATATTGTTCACACGGATTTTTTTTAAACTATCTAGTTTTGACTACATTCTTGGATTTAAATTTTATTTACTTTAAAAATATTCTGCTAGAGAATCTCAGAAGATTGGGGGAAATGCATCTCAAATAATTAAATATGAATATGTTCATGTTACAACGATCATAAAAATCCAAACTGGAGAATACTAGATAAAAAGAAACAAAGCCGTGATCTTCACTGCTCAGCTGATGAACATATTCTAAGATAACGTTGGCAGTGCTTTCTCTCCTTTCAGTTGATTAAAAAATTTTATAATTACTCTTATTTGACAAAAGAGCTACATAATACATAACAGCTTGCATTTTTATATATAAAGTGACTAATTGGATTGGCATGATCATGACATGAATGTTCATTAAGAATAAGCTAGGGAAAAGTGCTACTCAAATAGAACAGAATTTGATTTCCCATCCACCAGTTGGAATATCTGTACCACTTACTTTATCTCCTTTACCTCGCTTCTGCTTTTATTTCCTGGTTATAAGAATAATCTGTTTTTTTACAAATAAGTTTCCCTCTTATAGCTTGTTTAGTGGTTACCAGACTGTGGGACTATAAAGCCCGGGGAAAGGTGTGGAGAGGCAGAGAATTCTTCCAAGGTGCTGTGTTACATGCTCACCACGAATTTTCTGTGTATTGAATAAATGTAACTAGTGGTGAATGTATTTGATGTTGGAGAGAGGGCTATGCATTCTCTGAACAGTGGTTTCCAGAGTGAGATGGCACACCACGGACGGTGTCCAAGATGATTTATTGGAGGTCAGGAAGAAATATACCTTTTGTTTGTATCTTACACTTAAAAATATAAAATAATATGGAAACGTGATTTTTTGGATCTGGAAAGACACAGGTGCCTCCAGTCATTGAACATGTCAGCTGGTCTCAGGTCTCCTGTAAGAAGGGAGGGCCTTCACATGTGAAAAGGTTAATTAATAGTGGCTTCTTCACTGATTGGTTGTCATTGACATTGTGCTGTGGAAGCTTACAACTGCCACGTTAAGATTTATATCTAGTTTTAACTAAATTAACCCTCACCAAAATGCCAAGTGATCTTAAAGGATTACTTCAAAGAAACTGCAGCTTGAAGTCAATATGAATTATGCAAGCACAAGTAAACAATGAGGAAATGGCAGGAGCTGCCACTTCTCCTAGTATGTATAAACCATGAGACTAAAAAAAGAGTGGATCTCTTTGGGCCTGAGAAGTTGAAACAGTGCTGAGTTTTAAAGAAGACTAGTTGAAGTCCTATTTATTAATTGCTATTAATAATCAGCCTCTCCCTAAGTGTATGTTATTCTTTGAAATATTAGCCATTGACAGGATGAGTCATCCTCGTTAGCAAGATATTTAGAAATACTTTCTAGGACATGAAGACAAATGGCTTCAGATTTTTTTTCTTTTCTGATTTTATTTTTTGGTTTTTGTTTTTTACTTTTATCTTTATATTTATTTATTTATTTGATACAGCGGTTTGCTCTTCCACTCAGGCTGGAGTGCAGTGGCATGATCTCAGCTCACTGCAACCTCCACCCTCCAAGTTAAAGCTATTCTCCTGACTCCGCCTCTTGCATAACTTGGGACTAATTTTTGTATTTTTGGTAGAGACAGGGTTTCACCATGTTGGCCAGGCTAGTCCTGAACTCTTGACCTTAGGTGATCCACCTGCCTTGGCCTCCCAAAGTGCTAGGATTACAGGCATGAGCCACCACACCCGGCTTATTTTGATGTTTAAAGTCAATCCTGTATTTGGCAGAATTTCACTAAATTTAATGATAAATATTTAGGAGATTCTTACTGGCTGATTCATAGTCTAAATCACTAAAAGTCCTCATCATTTGGGAAAACATGTACTTTCTAATAGTGGAATATGGTTTGTAACTACATAAATATACAGATGTTTGAGCACATGCCCAAAAGTGTGTTACCATTGGGGTGTGTGGTCAGAAACATTTGAAGGCCTTAGTTCTAATCACTGGAATATTTAATTTAAATTTTGAGGGTTTTTTGTTGTTTTTTAAAACTGCTCCAAAAGAGTCAGTTATGTTGTGCCTGTCATCCTTTTTCCATGTGCCTCAACATTTTCATTATTCTTTTTAATATTCCCTGTAAGAGTTGGCATTAAGGAAATTGAAATGGGGACTTGCGCATCTGAATGCAGTGTGTGGCTTCTGAGCAACTTAATGTCAGTGCAGAATTTCTGCATGTCTTGAACACAGAGTGCTTTTTTTACTTCAGAATATTCATTAATGAGCTGTGCAAGTCCTAGGCCTTTTGTATACTGATTAATTCATCATTCATTCATTCATTCAGTGAACACTTAGTAAATGCCTTCTGAGTACGTGGCATCATGCCAAACATGGCAAACAGGGTAGGAAATACTTTCATTCTGTACCGTATTTTCATTCTTGGTCCAAGAAATAACTTTTTTTCAGGTTTTGGTATTAGGTCAGAAACATATTGTTGGGGGCAGGCACAATGACTCATGCCTGTAATCCCAGCACTTTGAGAGGCTGAGGTGGGAGGATTGCTGAAGTTCAGGAGTTCAAGACGAACCTGGACAACAGAGTGAGATCCCATCTCTAAAACAACAACAACAACAAAGAATGAAAAAGAAATGTGTTGTTGGTAGTAAGTATGCCAGTTTGAATCCATGACGTTGTTAGAGTTGGAGGAAGGTGAAAATTTTATGTGAACCTCTGCCTCTGAAGTCTAAACATTAATAAGAACCTAGGCCGGGCGCGGTGGCTCAAGCCTGTAATCCCAGCACTTTGGGAGGCCGAGACGGGCGGATCACGAGGTCAGGAGATCGAGACCATCCTGGCTAACACGGTGAAACCCCGTCTCTACTAAAAAATACAAAAAACTAGCCAGGCGCGGTGGCGGGCGCCTGTAGTCCCAACTACTCGGGAGGCTGAGGCAGGAGAATGGCGTGAACCCGGGAGGCGGAGCTTGCAGTGAGCTGAGATCCGGCCACTGCACTCCAGCCTGGGCGGCAGAGCGAGACTCCGTCTCAAAAAAAAAAAAAAAGAACCTAGTGAGAGCCCACTTTTTAAGCTTGAACATTTCTTAATATATTTGATACATAGTAAAGAATACAATAAAGAATGTACATAAAAATTAAGAGGAACATAATATAGAAAATATCTGTAAGTCTGCCAGACAACCCGAGAAGTAGCATGTTATCAATAACATAATGTGCTCATCCACTTTCCTGTACCTCTGTTTTGTTTTTCTCTTTGCTGTGTGTGTGTGTTTTTAAATCAATAGTTTTGTCACATATATATGCATAACTAAATTACCCTTTTTTTTTTTTTTTTAAGACAGGGTCTCGCACTGTTGCCCAGGCTAGAGTGCAGTGGTGCGATCTTGGCTCACTGCAACCTCTGACAGCCTGGGTTCAAGTGATTCTCCTGCCTCAGCCTCCTGAGTAGCTGGAATTACAGGAGCTTGCCAGCACTCACGGCTAATTTTTCTATTTTTAGTAGAGACGG